TATATACTCCCTATCCAAGGGGATCTTTCCCTTGGATAGTATTTATACAATATACTTTATATAGTCCCTACCAGGGGGCCCCACCCTGCTGGACTCCCAGGGTGAATGACCCAAAATGGATGGGTAGATATAATTTTGCTAAATCAAATAGAATTTCAATGTTTTCTGGGTATGAATTAAAGTTCAATATATTTGCTTCTACAAATAATTTGCTCACTGAAAATCACATACTTTTATATAGCAAAACACCAAACTTTTCTTTGCTTCCATCTACTGCTTGGTTTCTAATCACATTTTATTGCATTTGAGGCACTTGATGGGCTCAATTATCAAGCTGTTATAGTTCCTAATGTCTATTCTGCAGAACATCTCTCACCGGTGTTTGTTAAAGAATGGAGTCTCCTAACTCTATCAAAATTTCTGGTGGCAAAAAGATGCATGTGCAGAAGGTTATTGTAAAGAATAGCTTAAATAACTGTTATAACATTAGCCCAATGCTGCCAGGGAAAATGAATAAAAAATGAGGAAAATGCTGTGCTCATTTTTTATATTTTTGTGAAACATCTCTGCACATAGATGGCTCTGATTGTGCTTAGCCACAAAGGAGTCTATTAGTAGGCCTTGTGACCTTACCTAATTTCTCCTTTCCTTGAATTGGTGGGAAAAACATATTTTTTACTATTGCTATGAGTATTGATGGTGTTATCTTTATCATAAATATCATAATCACTATAATGTTATAAACTTTAGTAACAGCAAAAGAAGATAACGTAAACTATTTTTGTAAATAAAGGAAAAGGGAAAATGGGCAAGACAGGCAGTACTCGTAATTGGCTACAAGTACAGTCATCTATGTGTAAAAACGATTTAACAAGTAAACTCACAGTGGGCATGGCATTTACGTACATGCCATCCCCGTTGGCATTGGGTTAAAGAAGTATAATGAAAATAAAATGATGTATTAAATACGTGATATCGGAAAAGCAGACATTGATTATTACAAAATAATTATTTTCTCAAGTGTGTACTAATACATGGACTTGCATTAATTGCACTAATGAGTTATGCAGTCATACTAGTGTTTATTGTTGCAATGTAAACATGGTGAGGGATTTAGAAAGCGATAGGTCAATCTTCTCTCTTCTCTGTCATGTAACTTCTTTAGTTTTGCACACCTTTTGCCATAGGTGAAAAATAACTGTTTTCATCAAGGAAACCATTCCATAAACTTTTTTACTGGAATCTTGATAGTCCAGAATATGTTTTCTATTTTTACTGTATAAATTTATAAAAATATAAGTTTTCTACATTTTATAAGTTCCAGTTCATCTCACTTGAGCTATGCAGTTATGTGAATGCTTTAAGCTGCTCTGAAGATTTTATCATATAGGGAGCTAGTCTCATTTCTGTTTAGCGAAATGTAGGTATAGGAAGCTCTGTTGGATTAGACAATGCATTGAAAAGCTATTTCTAAAATTCTTGTTTTTTTTTTCCCTACTGTGAAGATGCATTTGACAAGTTGGTGAGGATGATAATTTTATATATGATAGGTTGGTGATAATAATCATCTCAATAACAGTTGTGATATTTAAGATGTTGTATTCAATTACTTATCCTCAACCTGTCAAGTACAACTTTATCTAGATGAAAAAAATAAGTTTAGACACTGTGTTTACTATGTCATAGATACAGTGTCTTAGGATTTATCTAATGATTCCATATACTGTATACCTTAAGGATGATTTTACTTATTTACTAAATGAATACTGAAAGAAATAGTAGAATTATCAAATATTTGAAAAAGCCATGTATCACTCATACAAATAGATTTAGTCTGGTTTTTACTTACAGAATTACTACCATAAGATGGGGAAATCTTAGGATACTGTCATAAAGAGATGAAAAAATCTACATGCACTCATATTTAAAATAATTGGTGCAGGTTGCATACAAATGGTGACCAGAGACTAAGGTCTCACTTAACTCCTATGACTAAAGCCAACCTTACCTCACCTTTGATTAAATTGTTTACCTGTGTGACACCTCTGCATAAACTGTCTTTGTGTATGGAGGTTTAAAGTCATGATCAGTTATTATCATTCACTCACTAAAGACACTATACTTTCAGGTTGTGTTGCCGCTGTCATATATTATATCCCAATATTCGGGAAAGTGTGGTCCACGACAGCACAACAAGAATACTCAAAAGAGCATCAATAACACTTCATCAGTGGTTAACATTGTATGCTCAGAGAGTCTAGCAGAGGTAAGTTATTGCACATTTATATGAAACTTGATAAGCTTGTGTTTAATATGACTGTTTTTTTTCATTGTCATAAGCCTATAACAAAATTGAGTTTAGCTTATGTAATACTACATTAGTATATAGAATTCAACATATATGAATTACATATTTTCAGACAGTTGAACATCTTGGAGAATCAGGTTTAAGACAGATTAGTCAGCTGATTACCCCACAGCTTCTCCAGGACCTCTCTTTATATGGCCCAAAGTTGAATCTGCCTTTCCCCTCAAGCCAGTCCACAGCACATCGAGCCTTATCATCTGCCTCTCGTCTTTATGTTGGTATGTGCAGGATATGCCATCATCTTAAAAGAACTACAAAAGAGTTTGAGTTTTGAAATAGGTGAACTTAAAGGAGCATGGTCATCATTGGTGTCAGAAAATTGATATTTCAAAATATGGCTAATTTCACTTTCAGAAATAAATATATTTCTAAAAACTTTATGAAATAGATAATTGCATCTTTCCATTTTGATACTAATCTGATAATCCTTCTCTTGTTGTGAGCAAGACTGCCTTATATCACACAGTCATGTTCTCTGAAAGTAGTTAATTGATGCCAGGATATCATGTACATACATGCCATTCCCACTGTTATTTTAGTTTAATAACCCATTCGTCTCAGGATTATGTACTATCTGCTGTATTTTTTGTGAATTTTGTTGCATACAAATGGCTCTGCACATGCTCAGCCACTAAAGGGGTTTGTAGGCCCAAATGACTGCACCTGATTTCTACTTTCCTTGAATTTTGAGGGAAAATGCATTTTTCTTTCTAATACTGTGAATATCAATACTGTTATTATTATTGACATTATAATTATCATAAAGTTATGAAAATGCAGATAACAATAAAACTAATAAAATAATATAAAAGAAGCTTTCTGAAAATCAAGGAAATGGGTAAATGGTTGAGATGTAAACAATGAACCCATTGGATCTGGATGTTTCCTGCCATCTTGTGGCCCAGAATATAGGCATTGGACCTACTTGAGCAGCCACTCTTGTTGCTTGTATGCTGGGCACACAGGAACTGTCATGGGGTGACAAGACTCCATGCCTCCCGTTTGCAATGTTATTTTCTTTTTTTCTTCATAATCATTTTTAGCACTTTAGCCATTTTCTAGTGTCTATATTTGTCATTTGATTACTATTATCCAGATGATAAAAGACTGTTTTCCTTGCACAAACTCCATATCATCTCCTTAGGTAGTCTATAACTCAGTGCAATAGTGATAGCAATAATTAACATATTTGTGTTATTTGTGTAATTTTTTCTTTTTTCGTAGTATTAAATTTTGTGTAACAAAACTTGGACTGCCGTTCACAGTAGATCATACATTCCACACTTGTTTACTGATGGAAATAATGTAAAAGGCCCCTCCTAAATGTCCACTGAGTCTAATCACCTTCCAAGAAGTCCTTCCCGTCAACATGGCCTTCAGCCAAAATTTTCATGACGGCATGTTCCTGTCACCAGAGCCCTCATCCAAATTTTCCCATAATGGCATATTCTCAACACCAGCCTCTCACACCAATTTTTTTTCATGACATAATGGTCACATTATCGGGATCGAGAGGATTAAGATGCTCTACCCAAGGTGGGTCATAGCTCAGTGGTAGAGCGCTGGCTTTGCAATCGCAAGGTCCCGGGTTCGCGCCCGGCTGCCGCCCCTCTCAGTCGACTCAGCTGTGAATGAGTACTGATATGCTGTACTGATATGATATGTCAGGGTCAGAGTCGGGGCGGAAAGGAACTGGCCACCCTACCGCATCATCCCGCGGCCTAGTAAGCATGTTTCTCTGCAAACATGTCCCCTACGTTCACATGGACATGGGATTAAAAAAAAAAAAAAAAAAAAAAAAAAAAACCTAAGGTGGGCTCAGGGGGAATGCTTTTGTTACACAATCAAAAGAAAGGCAATGATTTAAATAAAATAAATAGTACTGTATAATTGTTATACTCTAATGCTGCTGCTGTTTCTCTTTCTCCCTCCCTCCCTCCCTCCCTTCCTCTCTTCCCTCCCTCACGTCCTCCCTCCTGTCCTCCCTCCCTCCTGTCCTCCCTCCCTCCCTCCCTCCCTCCCTCCCTCCCTCCCTCCCTCCCTCCCTCCCTCCCTCCCTCCCTCCCTCCCTTCCTCCCTTCCTCCCCTCATGTCCTCCCTCCTGTCCTCCCTCCCTCCCTCCCTCCCTCCCTTCCTCTCTTCCCTCCCTCCTGTCCTCCCTCCCTCCTGTCCTCCCTCCCTCCTGTCCTCCCTCCCTCCCTCCTTCCCTCCCTCCCTCCCTCCCTCCCTCCCTCCCTCCCTCCCTCCCTCCCTCCCTCCCTCCCTCCCTCCCTTCCTCTCTCCCTCCCTCCCTCCCTCCCTCCCTCCCTCCCTCTCTTCCTCCCTCCCTCTCTCCCCCTCTCCCCCTCTCTCCCTCTCTCCCCCTCTCTCCCCCTCTCTCCCCCTCTCTCCCCCTCTCTCCCCCTCTCTCCCTCCCTCCCTCGAGTGTGTGTGTGTGTGTGTGTGTGTGTGTGTGTGTGTGTGTGTGTGTGTGTGTGTGTGTGTGTGTGTGTGTGTGTGTGTGTGTGTGTGTGTGTGTGTGTGACTGTGTGTGACTGTGTGTGACTGTGTGACTGTGTGACTGTGTGTGTGTGTGTGTGTGTGTGTGTGTGTGTGTGTGTGTGTGTGTGTGTGTGTGTGTGTGTGTGTGTGTGTGTGTGTGTGTGTGTGTGTGTGTGTGTGTGTGATGCACACATAGATACACATGCATACACAAGGTTAATAAACTAAAATGTCAGTGGACATGGTATGTATTTTTGCCATTTGGGTAAATTGAGTTAAAAGCATATCTTTTAAGCAAGTGAGGTAATATCTTATATTAATAATATTAATCAGATATTAATTTCAGGGAGGAGAGGAGCCTGGCATGAGTCCCATATATCAGCCAACACATTCTCAGAGAATAAGGGAAATGGGAAGCCCTTATCTACCTTCTGTGGAGACATGCGTCTTAAGCCTGTCTTTGCAGTGACTGAGAGACTACTTTTGTCAAAGCCTTTGCATCAAGCAGGTAAATGTTTTTTCTGTACCTTTTTCTTTGGGAGTCTTATTATTATAATTAATAATAATAATTTAGTTTGATTCCATTAGTTACAATGGATATTCTTGGTGTGATATACTGTCTGTTTTATTTTGCTTCTAAAGTTAGTCCTTATCATGACCATCACCATCAACAGTGCCATCATTCACCAACCATTATCAGTCATCAGGCATCAATCGCCAGTAACTCATTGGCTTGAGCAGAATATGGGGTTGACTTGGCCTCTGCTTCGGGAGTGTGTGCGGCTGACAGGGCTTGCTTTCTTGGCCTTTTTCAGATGGGTCTGGTGTGTAGAACTCACTGTGTTGCACTGGCAAAGTGATATGATTTTTTTATTTGTATCACTTGTATGCAAAACATGCTTTTAATGTTTCTGCATATTCAGAGATGCATAATAAGAAATTTAGTTGCTAGATCAAACCTGTAGTAGCTTAATTATGTCTTTTTTAATAAATGGGGTATATTACACTTTGTGTAAAAGATTGAATGTGGCTTTATTGAAGGATTAAAAAATTAAAAATCACTCATTATCGCAAATCTTATATGTATGAAAAATGAGATTATGTGCAGTGATATACAAGGCTGCTGCTGCTCAGGTTTCACTATATCACTTATTTGTGTCATACTTCAAGAGAGTCACATTGGCAGAGTGCCAGAAGACAATGTGAGTATTTGACAGATCTCTCAAACAAGAGTGAAGGTTTCTTACAAGTTCACATCAACAGCAACAGAACATCATGTTTTGGTGTGCATGGCAAGCTAATGATTTATGTGTTAAAATTCACCCTTTATAGAAAACAATAGTCATTCATAGCATTACACATCTTTCTCTTTCTCAGGCTGTGCTCCAGGGCATGTGTTGTGGGCATAAGTGTTCCTTATAAAGAATAGCATCATTGTAACATGGCGTGAATGACCCATCACTCAGATCTGTGTCCAAGTTGGCTGTGGCATGAATAACACATCACCAGGAGCCATGACTAAGTCAGCTGTGATGCAAACCTAACATCATCCATAGGCTATGAGTTAATCACCACCAGCCACCATTAATCAACTCCAGTCACCATTAATGAGCACTATTCACCATTAACCTCTATACTTCAGATGAAGTGACCATCACATCATGAAAATATTTGGGGTGAGGGACGGGTGACGTGAACATACCGTCATTGGAAAATTTAGCTGAGGTCCAGGGTGACGGGAACTTGCTGCCATGATAATTTTGACTGAAAGCTATGGTGATAGGAGTGACTCTCCTTGAGTGCACAAAGCTCTTGGAGGATGATTAGATTCAGTGGCATTTACATTATTTTCATCAATAAACAAGTGTGGAATATATGATTGGTGAGCTATGACTGAACAAGCACCGGCTCTATGGAAGATACTATTTCCATGCTCAGGATCCTTTTCCTGTCTGCTGGGACTGGTGGCACAGGTTATATTACAGAAAATTGAATGTTATTAAAAAAATCCAAAATGACATAAATAACAAAGTGTTACTGTTCTTATTAATGTACTGACCTAGAAAGATCATATAGATTCTGTGCATAGAAACAGTTTATTATCATCTAGATAAAGCAGGTCAAATGATAGATATAGTCATTGGTAAATGGTAAAAAAACTAAAAATGCTTATAAAGAAAAAAAGAGAAAATAACATTGTAAAGGAGGAGCATGGAATCTTGTCACTGCACACAAGTGTTCCTGTGGGCCTGACCCACAAGCCACACACCTGTCAGAGTGGTTTCGCTTGTAAGCCAAATGCCTGTATTTTGGGCCACATGATGGCATCCAAATCCAGTGGGTTGAGCTGCCTTTCACCTTAAATCAGTACTAGTCATTATGGATCACCACTAGTCACCGTTAATCTGCCATTCACCATGAATCATTACCATTCATTCCTACTACCAACACCTACCATTAATCACCATCACCCACTACAAACTGCTACCAATTACCACAACCAATGCAGTGCAATGCAACTAATATAATTTTTATCAACATTTCATTACCATACATTTCCCCAGTTCTTAATGTATAAGAATATCTGCATGTATTTTAATTTTGCTGTAATGAAAATGCTAATGAAAATCCCTTTGTCTGTAGTTTTGACTCAGCAACGTGGCTTCAAGACACAGCAATCCATTGAGCGTGAATCTCTAAGGCAAACCACAGTCGCTGATCGGTTACGAGATGGCCTGAAGTCCAGGCAGCGCTCCAGCAGGAATATCCAGCAGGAGGCAGAGAGTAATGCAAAGCTAAAGGGTAGATTTTCATTATATTATTGTTATTGTTGGCAGACCATTTTTCTTTTATTATTATTATTACATGCAGAGTTAGAGTAGCTTTTCATTATATTAATTCTATTGTTATTGTTAACTGACCAGTTTATTAATTACATCAAATCGGGTAGTAAAAATTTTAGTAAAAGATGAAACAAAGAAAATGGAAAGAGGAAAAAGGACTGACACATATACTTAAATTTACACCAGGTATGCTGACAGAGGAATCGTCTTCTGAGGTTCGCAAAAACATGAAGGTGGCTTTTGCAGAGGGGTATCTGGCAGCAGAACCTCAGAAGCATCAGTCACGTACCATGAGGTGGATCAGGAACTTCCAACAAGTCCTGGCCATTGTCGTGTTCATTGCTATTCTCTTCTCACTAATGGGTCTGTTGTTATTATTTTCTTAGATTTTTGGGTTGCTGTAAGTGATGTTTATAAGTCTGAAATAATTTGTTTATTTGTGGGGATTGAAATATAGAGAGTATTTTAACTGAATACATATTCATATATATTCTTTTTACCCTAACAGTTTTTAGTGTTGACTAATTTTGTATAAGAGATCAACTAGATCCAGTTTTTCTTTACATTTTCACAGATGATATAGATAGGGCTGTGTTCCAACGGCATTCATTTTATTTATACTTATTTCTCACAGGCGGTATGGGAGGGTCCATGTTCCGAATGCATGTCGGAAATGGCAACGAGGTCCACCCAGAGGAAATCATTGTCTCCTTCAAGGATGTCAGAGGGGTGAGTTACAGTTACTTCAGCAGTAGGACTAATCTCAACTGAAAGTGTCGTTTCTACATGTGAGTGGCTTCATGCAGGGTATTAGCTTCACATTTTATTTTATTTTTTTTCATTTGACAAATTGACTAAAGGGAATTTGTGCTTGAAGGAGCTCCCTAAGTTGTGTTACATTTTGCATATATGAATTGTTGAATATTGTGGCCCTAGCATGCCTAAGAATGTTGGGCTGTTTCTGGAGACTATTACGCTAATATTTGGATTAAAGCAAACAAATCACCAAACCAGGGAAAATTACCTTTAGCAGGTGTACAGGGCTAGGTTTTTCCCAACTTATGTCGATGCCTACTCACTATTTACTTGCCTCTCTCAGAGCTAAATTGTTAGATTCCTTGAGCATGAAAACTGAAATGCAAGGGTTCAAATATAACTTTACACCACTGCATGAGAAACTACCTAATTTTTTTGGTATGAGGGTTGTCCATGTAAAATTTATCAACACTCTTCCTTACACACTAAGATTAAAACATTTACCTGTTAAATCATCTACTTCTTTGAATTGGTGGCTTGCCCCCTGCAATAGTCTGCAATGATTTAATGTTAAAAAAAAATGAACAGAGTCCCCTTTTACAATTACTATCAAACAATGATATGAGGATCTTAAACTGCCTCAGGTGGTCTCTTGCAGAGTGTGAAATGAATGCAGCAGCGGGACTCCTCAGTTAAAGATAAACCCACCACAAAGCTGCATAAACTACTTTAGAAGATTGTGACCAATAGGTTAAGTCTTCTAAGTTTAGCTTTGGGTAACTGGGTAACTTTGGGTAACTGTCAGTTTTGCCACCCTGGATCAGTTGTAACATTTTCACCATGGTTCTTTATAAATCTGGCTATGTACAAATAACTTTGAGACCCCCTTCACTTGAGGCTTTAAGCATAAACTTATTTTCTTTAACCCAATGATGCAGGGTTGTCTGTAGGCCTGGGTGGACTACATTTCTTGGATGCAAATCATTGTTATTTACTGCTGCTCCAGGTGCTTCCACTGACTTGCTTCATGTCTGGATGGTCACATAGCCTTATACTTTTGTTTATTCTTTCATCTTTAATGCTGGTGCTTCAATTGTGGTGTATGATTTTGTGTAATATCAGGTTTAGCTGTTAATAATCACTAGTTTAGCATGTGAATTTTTTCTCTTATTTGCTCTTTTTATAGTCTTGACTATATGGAAAAGTAGAAGAGATTGTCTCTTTCACTTACTAACTCAGTCTTGATACACTCTTGATGCTTGGGTATCCTCAAACATTTTCAGGTGTCTTAGATCCCAGCTAGTCACCTTAAAATGTCTGCAAAGTAACCAAACATAATTTCACATTAGCCACCTTCTACTATATTAGATTCAGGAAATTTTATGTTTACTGCTGAGGAGGGGTCACGCAAATACTGATGATTGGTAGTCACTTACATTTAGTGTAACATTATCAGCACAAACCCAATGCAAAATTCACTGTCTGGGAAATGACTCCTATTTTCACTATATTTTTGTACTGTCCCATTTCTATTTTATATAACAAGTAAACA